AACCTAGAAATCTATGAATCTATGAAAACATACAGCCATTGAGCAATTAAGAATACCATAGTTTTTGTACTTCTAGTTGAACACATTGAAAATTTAGAGTGATGTTGTTAACACTTGTTTTTGCTGGGAGTATACCGTCATTTTAATACACATACTTGGTTTAGAATGCCAATAAATTCTAGTATTGAATCAAGGCTATTAAATATAAGTATATAATGATGTATATGTATATTTATCACTATACAATTGTAAAAATCACTGCTAAAATATTTGATCTGTGTCATGAATGGGAGTTTTGCAAGTATAACTCCTGTACCGCTAATCTGTAGGGCAATATTTTTATAAGAGTCAAAAAAGTAGCTCCCACTTTTTTCATAAACTCCAGACACAGAGAGCATAGCTGACAAATCTATGTTCCCGAGACAGCTGCTGTATCATAAAATGGAACCGTTTAAGACAAATGCGCACTACAGACTTGCCTAGGACTGTTGCTTCCAGGTGGAGTAAGAGAGAGGATCCCAAAAAAGCTGTGCATTATTCTTTCTGTAAACTCACCAGGATATTGTTCATGAGCTTCATACGGCTTAGCATGTACAAGGTATACTGTAGGAGAAATGCATAAACAGCTTAATGCCACCTCCTCCTCTGGCAAGGCAGCTCTGTTAGAGTTACTGGGTGCCCCTGCATTGTGCCAAGATCCCTGCAGCACTGACCAGGCTGGTGGGTTTTGGCTGTGTGTTGGCATGCAGAGGGCACTCACCCAGCAATGGGGATGGGAGACTGAATGCTTAGATACACAACTACTGAACTTCTGGGAATCTCTTTTTCACAAACGAGCACTTCTTTTTCAGGTTAGAAAACTAAAGCTGCAGTTGGAAGAAGAACGACAGAAATATTCTCGAAGCGATGGCATGAATCCAGATATCGTAGGCTTAGAGAATGGTTCTGACTTGCAGCTGATTGAAATGCAGAGTAGGTATATGGTTACTGTTCACAGGTGTTCTTACTGGGGAAACAGACTCTTTCATCTTCTTTTCCTATATTGTTGTGCAGTGGTAATGTGAATTATATATTGTTGAGCAGCAAGATTTTTTGGTCTGTCTCCTTGCAGGGAATTTCTCACTGCAGAATAGCTTAAAAATCTGCCCCTTTCAGTGTCAAGCAACGACATTCTGGGCAGTTATTTTTCAGTTGATGACCTTACCTAGTATGGGTGCTGCTACTCGAACAATTTCAGTTTTTAAAATTATATTATTTTAATTGATGTAATTTGTTAATATATTCTACCTGATCTTTTAATTTTGTTGAATCTTTGATACAGAAACTTAATCGAAAAGACTCATTCTCTGAAGTAAACCATGAAAAATTATTAAAGGTTAATATAACCAGTGTTGCTTCATTGCTATTTTCCATTTCAAGCAAGCTGTTTCTTCAGCTGAGAGCTCTACTTGTTTGACAGATTGCCATTTAATATGCTTGTGGCAATGAACATGAACAGACCACTGGCAATGTCAAGGCTGAAATATAACACCAAAATAATTTGCAAAGCTCCTTGGAGTTTGTCAGGCGGGTTCAAGACTTTTTCTCAGCATTCAACCGTTATTACAGATGTCTATGCTAAATGCTGCTGGTATTACAATGATTGTGATTTGACTCATTTTATAGTGTATGTTGGTTATTGTTGATTCTCTTTTTTGGGAGATGAGCTTGCTGATCTAAATAAGTATGTTTTAAAAGGTGTGTATCTCATTTATACATTTGAGATTTAATGCACTCACAGAGACAGTAGTTGTGTTCTCTAAATAACAGGAAAATTCTTTCATTTTCATATACCCCAAAAAGATTTCTGAAAGAACATTTACCTTTTTATAGTCCTGTATACAGGCTTCTCAATGAAATGGTCTTTTTAATGAATTTTAATTAAAAGGGAAACTGCCAGTTTAGAGAGTTGCTTTGAGTAATATATTCATGTCAATGTTTGTCTAGGGGACGCCAACAGACAAATTAGTGAATACAAATTCAAGCTTTCAAAAGCTGAACAAGATATAACTACCTTGGAACAAAATGTAAGTGTGTCTGTCTTCATATTTATCGTTATCATTATGCTTGCTCTGCACACTTTTAGAATACTTTTTGCAACAAAAACTAAAAAAAAAAAAAAATTCATCCTTTGATTTACTCTTTGTTCTTTAGTTGGCACAGAATGGAACTACATTTGTTTTTTTTCATATTTCCTGCAATTCAATACCTGTGCATAGTGTAACTATAAGAGAAAATAATCTGGAGTTAATTTACTAAAATTCACGTGAATGTATGGCAGAATATGAAGAGGAACTGAAGTTCCAGAAAATCAGTTTATGTAGCTTAATTACTTGTAAGAAAGTTGTATAGGCTGTGGAAGGTACATAATTTACTCTCTGAAATTCAAGAGTTTGTTCTTGTAGAGATACATATGTCTCAGTGATTTACTCATGTTTTGTGATTGTAAGTCAGTAACATGGTATTATAGTTCAGCATCTGTGTAGCTCACCTAAAAATCACATAAATGACTACAATATGAACGAATCAGAGATGCATAGTTGTTCTCTCTTGCACAGCAACAGGCTGCTAGCCTGCCCTATGGATTTGGGGGTAGCAGGGAGCTATAACAATAACAATCCAGTGAGTGGGCTTTAACACCTGCAGATGGCAACCAGGATTTGTCTCGAGCCCACTCTTTACTGCTGACCTCTGGGCTTGAGCTGAAGACCTCTTGCATCATGTCCTGATAACAGTTAGTCTATTTTGCACCTTTTCATATGGTCTTGGCTTTTCTACTTTCCAGCTTTTGTTTTTAATCCCATGTGTTCCCCAATTCTTGATTTTTTTTTTCTTTTTCAGACTCTTCTGTCTTTGCTTAGTTATTTAACCTTCTGTATCTTCTCATCTGTGTTCTATGCTGTTCCATTCTATACCGTTTCCTGTGACCCTCACCAGGGAGGGACAGGCAGTGAAGGGTATTCGAAGTTTCTGCCCACAATCCATTTTACTGTTTTATTAGTTCTTTTAAACACTGTCTTTGAAATTATGGCTGCTGCTAACACTGCTAAACCTCCTCTTTCTAGAGGGAGATACTATGGATAATTCACAGGATGCCTTGTGTTATGGTGGCTTTTCAGAAAGGGAAGAACAGCTGGTGGCAAGTGAGCTTAGGCTGGAACACCTGAGTAACTGTTCCTTTTGTCTTGGTTGGGTTTGCAGATTGGGCGACTTGAGGGGCAGGTTGCAAGGTATAAAAATGCAGCAGAAAATGCAGAAAAAGTAGAAGATGAACTCAAAGCTGAAAAGAGGAAGCTTCAACGAGAGGTAATTAACCTGATTTCCTTTTCAGCTGTATGCTTCTTTCACTCTTGAACTGCTCTGTGTTTTGCCTCCAAGCTCTGTGGTTTTTTGTAATCTTCAGTTACAGCTTTTACGTGTTTTTTGAGGAGACCTCCAAGTCTATCAGTGTTGCATTCAGAAGACAACTGTAGCACATTCCTTGAAAGGGTCTAAAGTTGCGTTTTCTTTTGTATGTGATAACTTGTACTATTCTAAACTAATGCTTCCATAAAAATTACTGGAGAGCTGAATGCTCCCTATGTGAAGTGCCAGCCTGGGGAGTTTTCAGCATGCACCTCACAGGGTGCTGGGAAGAAGCTTTATTTAACTGAGCTGTTGGTCATGCTTGCGAGCTGCTGCATGACTAGCTAGCATGAGGCCTGCTACTCACAGGAATATGTATCCATCAGCGTGGATAGGGAAGAGGACTTTACCTTTAAATAGCATGTAATAGGAATTTGCAGCCATCTGGTTCTTTTGGAATGAGTACATGTTTCATGTTTCAATTGCTTTCCAATTATGTTTATTTTCACAGTGGAATTCTGGTTCATCTGACTGCAATGATTAAAGTGCTGTGTCTTAACTTATCTGTCACTCTTCTAAAGCATGTAATACTTGTATTCCTGATTTAATTTCTTCTGTCAAAGCTTAAGAACAGCAGAAAGTCCCAGTAAAATTAAAGCCATCGTAACTTTTGCTTTCATTTCGCTTTATAGTTAAGAATAGCACTGGATAAGATAGAAGAGATGGAGATGACCAATAGCCACTTAATGAAAAGGCTGGAGAAGATGAAGGCAAATAGGACTGCGCTTTTATCTCAACAGTGAAGTGGAAATGGAAAATACGATGCACTGCTCCTTGAATAACTAGCCCCTAGCTTGGTTTTAAATACAGACTTTCATTGGCACAAACTATTCGAACACTGAGCTGTTCATTGGTGTTTTAGTTTCATCATTAAATGGCATACTACTTCTTGTAACTTATGAGAGAATGAAACGTAGTTTGAATTCCCATGTGAATGACAGCGGTTTTCCTGTAGCGTTTAATTGTAGAGTCAGAGCTGGAGCGCAATGCTGCACGTTTGACGTAGCGATAGAAAATGTTTTTACAACTGTGGAATCAAGTTTACTCACGATCTCTTTTGGCTGCTTTAATGATGCTTGATGCTCGGAGACAACTGCATGAATTCAAGAAGACACTGTATTACTGTATTATAAACTAACATATATTTGCTCAAGACATCACACAGCACAAGTGCCTTTTATCTGGTGCAATTTAGACTTCATTGTTGAAATAACCTTTGAAATCAGATAACATTTTATTTTAAGATACGTTTGGGGTATTCACTAAACTTTATACATTTTGAAAATACAGTTTTGTAAAATATTTAAATTTGTAAGAAAAATAGGGACTGTGTATAAAAAAATCTGCTTTTTTGCATGGGCACATCTGAGCTCTAGGTAATTTTGTAAAATATTAGCCTCTGATACTCTTAGCATTAAGAGTGCAGATTTAAAAACTTCTGTTATACACCATCAAATTCTATGTCATCTGCTGCTTAAGTGTGAATTGACATTTTAGGGTGGGAGGACAGGGTGGGAAACGTGGCTAAGGAGTTTATTAAATGGACACTTTACTGACCAAAACCAGATGGTTTGTGTTTTCTTTTAAACACTGAAATACCAACAGGACAGAGCAAAATCTTTGCAGAATAGTAAATCCTGATGTCCTTGTTCTTGAAAAGTCTCTTTTTGGCTTTGAAATAGTGAGTTTGGATATTTTTTTTCCGATATCTTATCTTGCTCTGCTGCTCTTTGACAGTACTGGCATGGAGGAGAGGCGTGGTACAAGAAAGGAGATGCTCTCTGGAACAATGTGGGTTTTGTCTGAAGCCTGCTCTCTGTGGACAGTGGCCACTATTAAGAACTTCCACTCTTTTCAAGCTGACAGGTAGCAAGGGGGAAATGAGCAACAGCTGAAGTGACGCTGCCACTGTGTTGGGCTTTGCTCGAGGCCAGCTGGAGCCCCACACTTGATCTGAGAGGAATCATTGTTTTAGACTCCTATCAGATGCTTTCCTGTTTCAAATAAGACAGGAGTATTTCTGTAAGCAAGGCAGGTTTCATGACCTTTGCAATCCCAAGGGTTAGTACTTCTGCTTGTACTGGAGCTGCTTTCCCAAGAACAGCCATCTGGACCGTGCACAACTGAAGCTCGCTCTGTTTCAGCTTGGATGCCTCTTGGACTTCGAAAAGAAAATGCCTTCCCTCTTGAGAAACCTCCTTGTAAGTAGCAGATCCCCCTAGGCCTCCTAGTTAAACAGAAGACTACTGTAGTGTGATGATCACATAGATGATTGTGCTGTTAACTCTTTGCATTCCCTTGTGTACTTGTTCAGAAGAAACTTGTTCTTAATGGTGTGTATTCCGAAGATAAGGGGGATTCTTTGGGGGTTTTGAGAGTGTTCACATGTACAACACTCTGCTAAAACTTTATTTGGTATATGGTGAGGAGCACATCTACTTCTAGTTGACTTCCTCTAAACCATCCGGTTGAAGCTGGACATTTTAAGGTACAGGAAAAACTGTGGTGACAGTCAGATAAGAAGTTACTAACTCAGTTACCAGCCTACTGCAGAACTTCTTCTGGAGCACAGGTAAAGAAAGCATCAGTACATCCTTTCTAAAGATTCAGATTTTTAGTAGTATTTTAAAAAGTTGTTTATTACAGAGTTCTGATAGTGTAGCCATTTTAGTTGTAGAGCTTCCCCAATTCTTGCTACCAAAAAATCAAAACAAATTCAAGAACATACCCAGAATATGAGATTCCCAGCATCTAGACTAACTGAATAATACTGGATTATGTGATCCAATATGACTTTTAAGGCAACTGAAAGAGCTAAGAGAGAACAGCCATAGGAAGAATTAATTGCAAACCCTTCACCTTTTTCCAAAATAACTCTTACCAGACTAAGAATAATGTTTCACCAGATTCTTGTGAACTCCTTTCATATGAGGGGGACAGATCTGAATACAAATGAAAACCAAAAGCAGTAAATAAAACCAACATGATTATCAAGCTTGTCCCATTATTAAGTTTTCCTTATGCAACTGTTTTGGAATCATGCAACTCAAAACTTTTTGAAATGACCATATAGTATCTGACATTTGCTTGAAAATTACAGATTGACTTTGGTTTTTAAGCTGTGTTTTTTATGGTGCTATTACTTATAATGTGAGTTAATGTGTCAAACTACTTAGAAATGTATAAAGGTCTGTCTACTAACAGGGTACACCAAAGTTTTGGAGTCTTCCATCAGCTTAGCAGGCTTACTGGCCACCTTTTTAACAATTTATTTATTTTATTTTTGCTCAGCAGTCTAAGTAATCATATTTAGTTGGTGGAATAACAAAAGCTTGAGAAGCAAAACGCTTGTTTACTTGCATGCACTTGATTATGATTTCCTCCTGAAGAGTCAATACAATGGTGAAGTCAGTAATTATTATCCTAGAGGTGCAGGCAGCAGTCGTTTCCTTGCTGGTGTCATCGTTCTCCATTTCCATGTCAGTGTCTTCCTGCGGTCCCTTTCTGCACTACAGAAACAAAAATGATGTTCCCTTCTCGTATCACTTGGGCAAAACACACGGGCAGCAGATGGGATGCTCGATTCACGTGCTCTGCATTAACACTGAAAATGAAGAATATTTCCGAAAGCCTCCCAGAAAGTTTTGGGTTTACTTCCTAGGCGTAATTTGTTGGAAAAGGGTAGTTCGTAAGGAAATTCAAGGCTTAGTGATCACACTAGGATTCTAATCTTTAAGCACCAAGTCCATCAGGCTCTAAAGGAAAAATCACAAAATGTTGATATTTCTAAGGATTTTTTCATCATCATTTTTGTGTAATACTGGGGGTGGGGGGTGTGTGAAATTCTTTCAAAAGGCTTCTGCCTCTCCTAACAGCTCTCTGGAAGAGCTGTAACAGTTTCCAGTGCTTTTACCTTTACAAGGGTAATGTCTGTAAAATTCAGTAACGGAGTTTATCTTTGTCCCCCGCAAAAGAATGACCTCCAAATAGAGGTAGACCAGCATCATCTCACTCAAGTCCGAAGAGATCAGAAGTGTTTTCAATTTCAGGACCATGCTGTGAAATGTTTATTTCACATTATGAAATAATAGCATTATGTGACCTCAGGAAAGATGAGACTTGCCAAGGAGGCATCATCTCAGGAGACGTGTCCATTCTTGCTCAGCCATCTGGGCGTCACTGTGTCCCCCTGAACATCAGCTGTTTCAACCAGACCACTGTCATCTTCCATTGCAGCATCCTGTGGCACGACTGCACCCTCTGGAGGTCCTGCATTAATCTCTGTCGTCCTTTCAGTGGGGCTTGTACTTCGCAGTTTTTCACTGCCTGGAGAAAAACATCCAATTTCTGCTCTTGGGAATCAGTGCGGACTGGAATTCAGATATTTATGAACAAAAGAAATAACTAGAGAAATGTCTCAAAGCGTTCCTGAGATTAAGATGACCTGGGAGGGTACCATGAAAAGCAGTCATGAGAAGGGGGCGGGGGGGGAGATGTTCTTTTGTCTTGATATTAAGTACAGGCATGAAAAACGGTTCTAAGTAATAATGACTTGACACTTGGATAGCAATAAAGAAAGCTCTTTTTTTTTTTTTTTTTTCATTCAAAGCACAGTTCATTTAATGGAAACCAGTACATCTGTGAAATAGAATAGTGATTACAGGACCTTACCAGCTTTGCTGGAGACAACGAATTGCTTGTTGGCCAAACGAAAAACAAGTGTTAGCCCTAAGTATGGAAAGTACAAAGGGAAAGTTGTTATTTTTTGGTCAGACCAACTGGCTTTTGGATGAGAAAAAAACCCTAAAAAAAAAAGTTTGATGTAGTTACATTAATCAGATAGTTTTAGAGATGCTTGCAAGGGGACAGAGAAGGTTGTTAGTTATACCCACTTACTGCCCACAGAAAAGGGGCAAAGTTAGTAGGAAGTGGGCATAAGGATAATTGTAACCTGGCATAATACCAGTATTTTCATTTCATGAAGTCTCCTTTCCTTTTCATTTCATGATTTTTAACACCGAGCACTCTGCCCTCAAGCTCGCAGGAGCTTTGTTTTGCCCACGGGCAGCTGTTGGGGCAGGGCGGGCGGTGTCGGTGAGTGTTTGTCG